TATCTGGTTCAGAAGGAGGCCCGTCGGATTGAAGAAGAGTCTAGAAAACATTTCTTTCTTGGCGACTTATAGCTATTGGGTAAAGTATAGTCTTGTGAGCAAAACTGAAACATTACCTTTCTCTCTACCTGACGTCACCAACATTTGGAAACTATTCATGAGTATTCTTATTTTACGGCAATATAGTTATTTGCATCAATTCAATATGGTTTTTTGGGGGGGACACATTGGAGACACTGGTTATTTTTCCAAGGCTTTGGCCCTGTGAGATTGTAAGGACCAGTGTCAAGGGATGGAGTGTTAGACAACAGCCTTTTACATGGTAAGAGTGATACCAGCTTGAAGCGAATTGCCATGATGATCGGCGTTTGACCCCAGCATACAGAGTTGTTCTGCAATGAGGTCTTTGAACAATGCCTGTAGCACAGAAAACCCCTCATAAAGATGCTTATCTAACTTCCCCAGTGGTTACAAGTCTCCACAAGAAAATCTGAAGCCATGACCAGCTGCGGAGAACTCTTACAGCGACTGGAGACAGTGAGTGCCTCTGTAAGAAAGTTCCTATTAAATTTTTCTTTCTGAGAAACTGGAATTTTTTGCCTTATTCTTTGACCTCTCAGGTCTCAGCCTTTGGGGATTGGTTACCAAGATGGCCTTGATGGGGGACAGGTTCAGAAACAGAAGTAGGTGGACCTTGTTATTTGGGATTCAGTTAAATTAATTTGTGCTGAAACCAAACCCACGAAACAAGCACAAACACTTACTTCACTCCTGAGGAGCTGCTCAGCCTTGCTCCTGTTCATGTTTCTGCAGTACCATCTGAACAGACAAAACACAGTTAGGGCCTTAGGGGGTTTTAATTGTTTTTATTCTTTTTAGGATTAATAAGGTATTAACTGCTCATCAATCACTCATAATCTCCAGAATAAGCGACTAATTACATTCAAAGTTTTTCTACCCCTATCTATATGAAAACACATAGTTATTTACTCATATTCTCATTTTTTTTATTAAAGGGGGATCAAACTATACTTGCTATGTCATAACCTGAATTTTCCATCTGACAGATTATGATATCTTTGTAAACCAACATAGTTCTATGTATCATGGTATGCATGCCCCATAATTTATTTAAGCTAGTCTTCATTGTTCAACATGAAAATCATTTTCACTACTATAATTGCAGCAATAATGAATTTTCCTCCACCGACTCAAACACGCAGGAAATGGCACTTTCTGTCACTGTCTTTAATTCACATTAAAGTTTATTCCAAGCCCTTGTCCTATCGATGTGGCAGTAGAGTTCATCTCGAGTTATGATGGAGACTCCCCCACCGAATTTCTCCACAGTCCCAAGTGTCAAACAAAGCAACGCATCAGAGTGGACCTCTTGGTCTTCTAGACTTGCTGGGCCCAGCACCGCCCCAGAATCTGTGGTTGCTGGAGGCTCTCCGGGGAAAGTCTGCCATCACCAGGCAGCTGTCTCCCCTCCCGGCAGGTCTTGCCACACCCCAAGGCCCTGCAGATCTGTGCCCTTGGTAACCACTGAAAAATCCTTGTATTTTTATACTGTCATCTCCCACCTCCTCTTCAAGGGTAGTGCTCTCTCTACTTCCCCCAACACAATCAATCTCTTCCACACGAAGTAAGCAAATAAGCCAAAGGAACATTATCTTGGATCATTCTTTTATTGGCCTTCAATTTTAAACTTGTTTTGTTAGATACTTTTTAGTCAGCAAGGAGCTGTTCCCTGCAGGCACACACCCTGAGACTTTGAATGTCAACCGGTCAGTTTGGTTCCTCTGGGCATTTGAATTTTCCACCTGGCTCAGCCTTTCAGAAAAGAACCAGCACCTGTTTTTGGCCCAGCAACCACCCAGACAAACCCTGATAGAGGAAGAGAAAATACAAAGAACAAAAGACAAGCTCTTCCCCTGTCTGGATTCTTTTATGTAGGGGCCAGATGCAAATTACAACCTAAATTCAAGCTAATTACTGTTAGATGCTTTATTTGGAATCTGAGGTGATGAACCAGCCCTCAGAATTGTCAACAGCTCCTTCCCGTGGACCCCCACTTTATGAAATGTGACCAAGTTCAACAAAATTGCAGTTTGGTAGAGACCAAACTAGCCAGGGGTTCTGGGGGGCACCTGTAATCCCAGCTACTTGGGAGCCTGAGACGAGATCATGTGAAGCCAGGACTTTAAGGTTGCTGTGGGCTGTGACAGCACAGCACTCTAGCCTGGGGCGACAGAGTGAAACTCAACAACAACAAAAGAAGGAGTTCTCCTATCTAGATAAGGATGACCTGGCTTCCTAGTGCTCTCCTCCTCCCCAAATTACCACCTAGCTCTCAGTTCTATCACTTCAGAACCAGAGCCAAGTTTTCACCTTTTAGCACCTTCCCTAATTCTAAGGATTTTTCTGTATTTTCCTAGTACCTATTTCATTAAGAGCAAGGATGCTATTTTATTTACATATTGTTTATATTCCCATCTACATCTAAAACCACTTGAAGGGGATCATTCATACTGCTAGATGTTATGACCTTCTGAACCTATTAACTTTCTTCTGGATTTTAAGATATACAAACATCATATTGTATTAAGTGACATGAACAGAACAAACAGCTTGTTGCTATTTTTGTTATTTTTAAGGACGTGAAGGAAGTGCGGATCCACCACCTCAGAATGACTACAAAGGAGCATCTGAAACCTGGGAACCCCGCACTGAGATGCAGCCGTGCACTGCCCATGGGTGGGTACACCTGGGGAAAGAGATTGGACAACTGGCATCAGGACTCCTACCAATGCTCACGCATCAGGACTCCTACCAGTGCTCACACATCAGGACTCCTACCAGTGCTCACACATCAGGACTCCTACCAATGCTCACATACACGTCAGTAGACAGACGTTACAGATCTATTCAAAACAAGAAGCAGAAAGTTCTCCTACTTAGACCACACAAACAAAGAAATAACCATATCCATTATTGGATATCTGTATGCCATATGCCTCGGACCCCTGAGGCCTAGCACAGTGCCTGATGCATGCTAAGATCTCAGTAAATATTCAATGAATTTATGACTGAATGAAATATAATACAGCCATGAAAATGTTTTCAAAGAATATTAAATAGCATGAGGAAATATCCAACACTCATACTATTAAATGAAAAAAAAAAACAGGATGTAAAACACACAGAATTTGTTTCTGAATACAGAATATAGTTCTGTAAAATATACAGAATGAGTCTTTTTGAAAACAGATTGATACAGTCAACTCTGATTGATTTATGACTAAATTTTTCTTATTAATGCTTTTTCATGTTTCAAGGATTTTAAAACAATAATTGCATATTGTTATTTTAGTTAGAAAAATAAACAATACAAATGCTTTTTTAAAGGGTGCTCTGAGAAATATCACTCCTACATCTTGAATGAATGGGCAGTGATCTGTATTTTAAAGTCCGCTAAGCTGTGACTTGCTTAAAATCAATTCAATTATATAAGTTTATGTAACTCCATTCACACATTGTACCTTCAGAAAAAATGTGTAACATTACAGAGACTAACTCTCATTGTCTTTTACTACTCTAGACAACTGAATTAAGGGTATGTTGACATCACTTTCTAACGATCAGGAAATATATCCATTAATCGCCAAAATGCCTTATATAATTAGCAAACTAAAACTATTTTCTGATTTTCCACATTCACAAGTTAAATATTTACTTACTCATATTGATCTAAGTTGTTTGATTTCTTTCCTGTTACATAGTTACTTGGGATATATCCTTCACTCCTAGAAAAAGAAAAATATCTGAAGTTAACTGAAATTGCTTTACTGATAGGTTATTGAAAGAAAGGAAATTACTGCCTTTCTGAAATAAAGCGTAATATTGGCTAAAGCTCATAAGAAAGCCTAGGGGACCCCCCAATAATTCAATGCGTCTCTATCATTTGACATTTAACAAAGTGCTTCCACGCTTGATCCTTACAGAAATTCTTGAGGTACGCATTACTGTACCCATTTTCTGGTGAGGAAACTAAGGCTTAGAAAGATTAGGAAACTTTTTCAAGGTCCCAAACTTAATCCGAAATAGGGCCAGAACTTGAACTCTGGACTTTGACTAGGTGGAGTGGTCTTCCAATATTCTAAGAGACCTTTGCAGAATTTGCAATTTCTTGGTAAATTTTTATAAAAAGCCACTCCTTCAGAAAAGTTAAAGTGTTGGATTAAAAACTATTAAAAAGTGTTTTTAATAGTCCTTATGAAATACTTTCACAAAGGATGGTCCCTGACCTTTTTGATCAATATCACCTGGGGTGGCTGTTAAAAAGGAATATTCTTTGGCCATGCCCAAGAGATCTAACTTGAGACCCTGTGGGGCCAAGGAATGCCCAGTGTCACCCAGATGACTCTTACACACACCAGAGTGTCAGAAGCACTTTCACCTGGGTAGGGGCCAACATCTTCAGTATAAGACAAAAGAGACACATTTATAAAGTCAAAAAATTGAGCAAAACCCTTGTACTCTTAAACGTGAATTTTAACTATTACTAAGAACTCCTAACACACACACACACACACACGTGTGCACATGCACGGATGCAGCTAGCTGTGTTCTCCTGCACTACATGGATCTTCCAACCTGTATGTCCAGGCCTTGTTCACATGATTTGCAAAAGCCACCTTCCCCACATGGCTGCGCCTTGGGCCGTGTCAAGAGAGGGACTACAGGCATCCACCACAACACTCACATCACTTTTCTATTTTTAGTAGAGATGGGGTCTCTCTTGCTCAAGCTGTTCTTGAACTACTGAGCTCAAGCAATCCTCCTCCCTCCCAGAGTGCAAGGCTCTCCAGCATGAGCCACCTCGCCCAGCCCATTAATCTTTCTTAACTTCCTTGCTTTTTGGCTCAATGAAATGGGTCCAAGTGCATCTTGTATTTTTCCCAGCCAAACTTCAACTGTGACATTTCCCCAAGGAGCGCTGGCTTCTTTTAGTCAGAATTATTTGTAGACAAGAGTGGAATGCTGAGATTCTGGAGGCTGCTGGACTATTGTTGTTTCTGGACCTTTCTCAGAGGCAAAACCAGGGAGTGAGGGAAGAGGGAAGGGCACGGTTCTGTCCGTGTCCGCCACATTCTGGGGCGGAACTCTAAGTGCAAACTGTGCCTTTTTTTGTCTTTATGAAGGTGTATTTGTCAAGGTCGAGGATACATTTCACTTTAGTTACCAGCTTGTCAGCTTGATTTACAACTTCCAAATACTTAGATAATATGATATGTGGACTTTGATTTGTACTCTTCCTCCAGGCCTAAAAATATTGACAGAAAGTTTCAGACAAGACTTTTTAAAAAATATTGTTGAGTATGATAATGACATGGTTGTTTTAAGAAAACTCTTTAGAAATTAGACTTCGGGCCAGGCACAGTGGCTCATGCCTGTAATCCTAGCACTCTAAGAGGCCCAGACAGACAGATTGCTTGAGCTCAGGAGCTGGAGGCCAGCCTGAGCAAAAGCAAGACCCCATCTCTACCAAAAATAGAAAACTAGCCAGGCATGATGGCAGGTGCCTGGAGTCCCCGCTACTTGGGAGTCTGAGGCAAGAGGATCTCTTGAGCCCAAGACTTGGAGGTTGCTGTGAGCTATGATGCCACAGCACTCTACTCAGGGTGACAGAGTGAGATTTTGTCTCAAAAAAAGAAAAAGAAAGAAAGAAATTAGACTTAGGAGAGAAATGATATAATGACTTGAATTTATTTTTAACACATTACCTGCCATGTGAGTTGTATTTAACTCACACTAGTTTTGAGCCTGGAGCTTCATGAAGCATATATAACTTATATATCTGTTGACCTATCTTGAACTAATAAAATAGTAGCTCTAAGGGAAAAAAAATTTTTTTCTAGTGTGGTAGTTGATGTGTTAAAATACTCTAGAAAAAGAAATTGGAGGATTGTGACAAGGGGTTCCATGATACTATTATGTACTTTTTGAATGTTTGAAAAATTTTATAATAAAAAATTAAAACTCGGCTCGGAGCCTATAGCTCAACCGGCTAAGGCGCCAGCCACGTACACCTAAGGTGGCGGGTTCGAATCCCCAGCCCGGACCCGCCAAACAACAATGACGGCT